TAAGAACCTTTGAACTCTTGCTGAAAGTTCAAAACCTACCCTAAATCAGCACTGAATGTGAGGCTATATGTATTTAAAGCTGCATAGATCAGCCACAGCTTTAAAATCTATAGATGTGAAGGTTTGCAGCAGACACATGGGAAACTACAATACTGTACAAGAAGCAGGTCCGACCTTCAGTGTTGACTTACCTTTGTATCCAAGGACGGCCACCGCTATGGTGAGTAGGGCGCAGAGCACGTACAGGAGCGCAATGGCTGCCCTTAATGCCCAGTCATTTTTACACTTGGTGCACTCTGTACCCTCCTGAATCCCTGCAACACACAACAGGATCTGTGTCACAAATCAAATGTTTAATATGCAGTAAGCCTGCTTCATTCCGGTAACACAATACAATGTCGGGAGGCAGTAGTAACTCGTACATTGTGCAACTGGAGATGGGAGTTAATAAAAATGAGCTAAAGTTTTTCATTCACAGAGGGACTTTTTTTTGTTTCATTTATTGCTAAGTTTAGTCCTGCATGTCTACAGTGGGACACGCTGTGCCTTTCTTCAGCCAAGTATCAATTGAAAACATTTGGCCTCATGAATAGGCAAGAAGACTCACTACAAAAACACAGCACATGTGTTACCCATACGACAGAAGAACCAAACCAAACAGTACCATTCCCCTTCTGTGTCATTCCTTATTGCCATCCAACCTACAACAACAGTGCAGTGAAATTTTTGGTCACTCATGTCACAGATGTTCAGCACTACTTCCTAAAAATCACGAACACTAAGTGATACAACGCTAAACATTGTACTACAGGCAGGATGTTTACTTGACTTCATTAGAAGTGACCAAGTAGCCTCTGCCAAGCAGAGCAAGAGGGCAGCTGTTGTACATTCACAACAGGCAATGAAGGTCTTTATGTAGGTGAAACAAACTTTAAATCACATTTTACAGGAAGAAAAAAAAATATGGAAACTTGTAAAACTTTGTCAAAGCTTAAGCAAAGACAATATGTTTAAAATACATGTTTATTAATGTAATATCAAACACACTTAAAAGACCCCTTTGAAGTAAATTTAAAAAAAAAAAAAAAGTTTTTACCTTGTTTGCATGTGCATATAGTGTATTTTATATGCTGGAAGAAGAAGTCAACACCATGATTTAGTATTATGAAGCAGCAGTGTACCGGTTAATGTCTTACAAACACAGTTTCAGACCTCCATTTATAAGGAACCGACCGTATAAACTTGCACAGTGGGACCTTCTGTATCATTATTCTTCTACAAAATCGGTCTCCAGTTTCAACGTGTGGCTGAATTGCTCCAATATTCCAACTTGTCATTGCATAGCACAGAGTAGTTTTACAGTGTTTGAGCATAGGTGTCATAGGTGAGCTGGTGTGCTCAAGCTGCAGCAAGTAAGAAGCCACAGTGTAGCATTACAGCTAAGCCATTCTAGGGCAGGAATGGATTATTTTAATGGAAACAAAGTATAAGTATGTAACTTTGATACACAGAGATGAGATTTCAGGGGCTTAATCAACCAGAGAAGGACTTCTATAATCAGCAATCCCAATTGTGATATATTATGTATTAATTATGACAACATTGAATTATCCAAACCAATTACTGGAAACACAGAATGAGGTAGCATCGCTACAGACAGGTCTTATTGGGTGAAAGAGTCATACTATCATACAGATGGAAGCAGGCGGCCTGTTTCAACAGACTTTATGTGGAGGTCAAAGATGAACCAGGAGGCTTGTCTGTGAAATATGACGGGTGTTTAAAGGAGACAGCAGGGTTAAAAAGCTTAGTGTTCTCCCTGCAGGTTTGGCTTACTTCTGGGTTTGTTTATAACCTGTTGGAGACCCTGACTGCTCCTCTTTTATAAATAAAACCAAAGTTGTAATAAACTGTTCTCTTTAAATCTATGAGAGGTGACACAAAACCACATATACGCAATTATTGATAAAGACATTATACTTGTAATGCTGTAGTTTTGACCGCAATTTGAGCTCTCGAGTTTAGACCAAGGACTAAAATCACCTTTGTGTTATATAAAACAATAAATATTCCAACTTGGCTTTTAAATCTGATATTAAACATTTCTGAACAAGTACTGCTTTTGATAATGCTTTCGGGTGACGCTGTCCTCTGGTCAAAACATGTCCCTGGGCATTAAGGGTAGGTCGACTGTTTCCACTGGGGAAATATTGCACAGCTGGGGCTGACATCTTCACATGACTTCCTGCCTTGAACAGTACTGGAGGCCCAGCTCTGTCCCTTTAAGTCATGTCACCCGTGATGGGACCGAATCTGCGGCTCCATCTTTCCCAGTCAGGGGTGGGCCGAGACCACCAGAGGGGTATGGGAGGCTTGGCCTCTTAGCTTTGGACCCACACATCTGTGCAAACATCATGTCTGACCACCTCAAAGGGGCCCAACCATGGACCTAGACATGGATATGTGGGCCACTGTTGTCCTTATGTGTACTGAGAGCCTCACGTTGGGAGCGAGTGTGGAGAGGTCCATCAGAGAATCCCCCACTGGTCCCACCACATGCTGCTTAAAGGACAACATCACACCATGTAAACAAGCAGTCGAGCGTCCGCAGGTTCTGGGTCAAGAGGGAGGCAGGAGTGGTATTTGTGTGAACTGGACCACTGAGGCAATATTATATGAGTGTTCCTCTTGGTTGGAGGGGCAATGAATTTCAAATACTTCCTTGCAGTCGAAACCCTTCTTCTCTTCACTCAGGCTTTTGCCAAACAATATATTTCAGTTATTAACTTTGATACAACCTCCCACTACTAATATAAAAATAAAGCCCTCTCATGCCTCTGCTAATTAAATGATGGTGTTATTACTACACCTGCTGCACCCCTTACTGGTTTTAACAGTCTTGTAATCATGTTTTACTATTCTAACTACATAACTAAGTACTTTAAAGCACTGTGGTAATTCATGAAACAACCAGAACAATGTTTCAAGATTTAAAAAGTCAGAAATAAAGCATTAAAAAAACCAACAGAGCCACTTGATCAGGTGTCTCGCCTGGTCACCATGTGAACAGACAGTAAAGTTGGTTTATTTATAGAGCATTTTAAATCTTACAGCTAAACCTTAAAGCTGCAGGCAAAATAAAATGTGGTTGTGCAGACTCAAAAGCAAAATAAAGAGTTTTAAGAGAGGATTTTAACTGTATTTGTTTGATTTGTTGAGGTGAACAGAGAGGAGCAGCAATGGAAAATGCACAGTCACCTTTGGGATCCTGGTCTGGAATGTAGCTGTTCAAGCTATTTGTCCATCATGAAAAAACAATTTGATGGCTATAAAATCTCAACCAAAGACAGCCAAAAGTGCTTTCAGTGTCAGGACTAATGTACATACAGAATCTCTATGTAAACCTTTAACCTCCTAGAGTTACCTCTGGTACTGTTTAGCACACACTGTGTTGTATAATCAGTGTTACATGTTCTCCCTACACTGACGCCTACACTGAACTAATTCATTCTGGGCAGAGCAGCTGGTAGCTCCTTCCAGGGGTGCAACATTTTCCCACTGGTTCTACTCCAAAGGATTTTGCTTAAACAACAACTCTGCCTGATGTGGTAATGATGACGAGAAAACACTTCCAAGGTAGCTGCAGGATTCTGTTACATAGAATCCAGAAAGAAAATAGAACTACTGGGTTTCTATATCCATGTTAAATATGGGCCAAACAACTTGAGGCTTGTTTTGTCACAGTTAAATCCACAGAGGATGCTAAGGTATGTACCATTGTGAAATACAGAATGTATCAGTAGAGCTCATGTTGTCCATTATCCTGATGATGATATTCCAAGGAAAGTGTTTGGCAAGCAAACATGTGCAATCTTTTCAAACTCACTATGGAAAATCTGAGGGTCATGAAAAATTGGTTGCTCAATTTTGTTGAAAGTAAATCAAATAAAGTCTTTAAATCCAAAAGTCACCAAGTGCTTCAGTTCATCTCTGCACTGACTGCCTACCGAGTTTTGCATTACAACCCACCGCATGATGTACCTCATTGTTCAGCAAGTACGTCATGTTTCATTTTCATAGTACCGCTGTGACTACTTGCTCTCTATGTATAAACTACCACAGTACATAAACATGCTGACACATGCATGTCATGAGCTGACTGAAAACACATTGCTAAACTGAAAGGCCCGGTGCAGAACACGGGAGAGTTTAGAAGCTGGACGGCAGCCAGAACGTCCCAATCAACAGGCTGGACTTGAGCCATATAATCCCCAAGAGGTAAATAAATGCCAGAGAAGCCTAGAAAGAGCAGAGGTATGGTGGAGGATACTGGCTTACATATGACTGCTGTCAAATGAAAACTATGTACATCCAGTTTTGGCCCATTTGTATACAGGCTGAGCTCATGGATGACAACAAAAATGACCATATTTTCCAAAAATGCATGAACATTGCCTTATCGCTTGTCTCTCTTGGTCCAGACCGCCATATCTCAACTAGTGAATGGATATTTATGGTTTCCAGAGAATGAATTAATATACATTAGGACATTGAAAAACATTAAGACATTTCCTCTAATAGTATAGTTCCTATTTAACCTTATTTAAGTTATACAAAGTACTTTACACTGTGTTTCTCATCACCCGTTCAAACATTCTCACACATGGCTGCTTGCCTGCCACCAGGAGCAACTTGGAGTTCAGTGTCTTGCCAAAGGATGCTTCCACACATGAAGGGGCCTTGGACTGAACCACCAACCAGCAGATTAGTGGAAAATCCAGTCTACCACCTGAGCCACAGTCTCCCCAAAATGTGGCAACATGATGTTGACATTTGTGGTTTTGAGTCAAATGTCTCAACAACTACTGAATGGATTGCCCTGGCATTTCATCTGGTCACATTTGTGTCCAAATTCCAGCAAAATTAATGACATCTGTAAAGTGACGCTTTGGAGAAATATCTGCACGAACAATATATTTTTTGAGCAGCTGACTGACTGTCCCGATAGATCGCATTAGATGTTCCTGAGTGATTTGTGTTTGCATTGGTACACCGAAGGAGTTATGTTCAGTTGTGGATCACTTATATCATTATTAATTACTTCACTGTTGTTGTGAAAGTGAAGAAAGCCAGAGGCTGAGGATCAGGGGAGGGGGAGGGGGGGAAGCAGACAGAGAGAGATGGGGGCAGTTCGGTGTGGTGTCTGTAAAACAGCTGTATTTCATTTGGACTCTGAGTCAGTCAAAGAAAAAAAATACATCAGTTATTCCTCTGTTCCATGTACCTGCCATTAGACTTGCCTGCATGCCCCGTC